TTCTCAGAATCTATAATCTGTTCTCAAAATCTATGATCTTACACAGTTGCACTTCAGTATCCACAGGGTATTGGTTCCAAGACCCCCTAAATGCCAAAATCACATGACCTGTTTCCCTTTATCAACCCTCAACTTACTACCTTTTTCATATATCCATCTATTTCCAAAGGCAAAAACTTTATCCTTTGAGTTTCCAAATAGTTGAGTAACTCTGCACACAAGGTCATGGTGTTTGAAATATGTCTGGACATCCCTGAGAGCCTCGCACACATCTACCCAAGGAAAAGCTATGAAAAATGCTTTGCTGCTTATCATACCATTTACCAGATTGAAAATGGCAGAATAAAAATGTTTCCATCTCTTGTCTGAGTATTAACATGAAAAATAGTCTCTTTGGTCAAAAATATCAATAAAATCTTCAAAGAAAAATTGGATATTAACAATATCCAGAAATACATTATGAAATTTCACTCATAATGTATGCAAGAGAAGAGAAGGGGAAAGAAGGGAAGGAGAGAAGAAGGGAGAAAATGAGAGATGAAGGAAAGAAAAAGAATGAGAAGGGCAAGGGGAAAGAATGGATCATTTTTTAAGTGTGGCATCAACATCAAGTGAAAAGCCACAGGTATGACTATAGCAGCAAACCTACCAGACATTTTCAACAAGATACACACTACAAAATCATGGGTCATATTAGCATGCTATTAAGGTGACAGAAACATCTCATCTTGAAGGGCCATTGTTCAATTTTATTTTATATATTTAGAAAATAACCATTTTATATTCCCTATTACAGGGCCTGGTGCATACAAGTAGCAAATGCTTGTTGAAGGATCAACTAGATGAATTGATGACTGACTGAAAACAAACAAATGGGTAGAAGGAAAAATGATGAATACTCAAAATAAAAAAGTTTTCAAATATTCAATAATGGAGAAGATTTCCTGCTTCTCCATTTTAAAATGCTATCTAATTAGGGGGAACACGTGAGAGGTAGTATAGCACAATATGAAGGAGACACCATTTAGGTTCAGAGAGACCAAGGTTAAAATCCTAGCTCAACTCTTACTGGCTTGTGCCCTTGAGCAAATTGCTTAATTTATGTAAGGCTTACTTTCCTCCACCTATAAAGCAGGGATCACAATATCTACCTTATAAAGACATCAAACCAGCACTTTTGGCACCTGGAACCAACTACACAAAACCAGCTCTCAAATCAACTCTGTAATTCATAATGTAGCCCACAGATGGGTGTTACTAACAATGCTCGCCATCTGGTAGCTTCCTGTTTTAAATAATTATTCTTGCTAACTAGGTGCCAAGCTTTTAGAATCATTATATTAAATGTCTGCACCCTCTAAATTTTGGTGTCCTTAGACAAAGTCCAGTATGGCCAGTCATAGTTCAACTTATGGGGTCGTTTTGAAGATTAAAAATAATGTAAGAAAAGTACCTTGTACAGTGGCAGGCATGTAATAAATTGTTATTACTTAAATATTTTATTAATACCTTTATATAAACCACATGCCACTCTATATTATCACAACTACTCCAATAAGCCCACACACAGATTAATCATAACCACTTTCAGTAATATATAAACAAGATGGACAGGAAAGGGTGACATATGTTGCAACATCCTTTTCAAAAATTCGAGTTGATTCCTTCTACTCTGACTTTTGGATTTTCTCTCTTAAATCCATAAAGACATGAGAATTTAGAAGAGAGACAGTACTTTCATTCCAAGAGCCATTTCTGAAAGGGAGTAAGTAAAGTGTCAGGTTCAAAGAGAATTCAAAGTTACCACTACCAGGGTATACTTATTCTCTGCTGGATGGGCAAACAGAGCTGTTGCTATTGTGTTTTGCATGTGGTCTCAGCTGTGCAAATACCAGTTAAATAAGAAAAACATCAAGCCATCTTTATCAGACCTACTAACAACCCAGAAAAACTCCTTCAGGATGAATAGTTTAGTAACAAAATAACAAAATTTGCCAACCCTGAGTCTCTGTATAAAGCACTACTTAGCTCTGAAAGATTATTTTCTCTGAATTATCAGATATCCAGAAATACTTATTTTATTATAAGACATGCCAATCCATGCCAATAAAAGTCACAAGAACAAATGTTATGAAGAGTTCAATTTAAATGATTTATAGGTTTTACTGGTTATAGAGATCTTTCACTAACAGTTTTGTCAACCTGGAACAAACCTTGTCCAAGGAAACATCTCTTCTAAGCAAAAAAGTCAAATCAAGCTCACAACTAGAGCTCCCAGTTTCCCCACAAATTGAAGGATAATATCCATATGTCTGTTGGGTGGTGACCAATTGAAGGATAATATCCACATGTCTGTTGGGTGGTGACCAGCATGCTAGTACAGAATCCATGGACTGGAAGTACTGTCCCGGCCTTACATTTGACACTGGGTCAAATGTGTAAACAAGAGGGCTGAAACGAAGGTTCCTTTACATATTGGTTAAAAATGACAGTTCTATGACTGTGGTTCCCATAGTTAGTAGGAATAAAAATGGATCGCATTATGAATAAACAATAAAAGACTAAAATCAGTGTAATCAGTTACTAACTTTCTGGAATTGATGTCATATTAACAAGAGAAACCACTCCAGAGCAGGAATGGATATTGTGGTTTTAAAAGGACAAACATGCATTAAATACAAGATACATGTTTAAACGGAAACATTCCTTAAGATAGTAGTCTAGTAGGTTTGGTATAAAGTTCTAGTGGAGAAATAATTCACCATCATAATCAGCAAAGTAACTAACCAAACGACATATTCTTTGTTATTTTCTGACAAATATCTATAATTCTCATTCTGAAGCACAGATTTTTATTTTTCTGGTGCCATCAAGTGGTAACATTATGAAATGTTCTAAGATTAAATGCAAATAACTTAGAAAAATGTCACACTGACAACCCTGATGTGGTTTATCTATGTCAATTAAACTCCAGTGATGTTTTAGCACATAATTCTCTGAAAAGAAACAGAAAAATATCAGAGCCGATTTTTTAAATAATTCATATCCATTTTAAACTCCCAACTCAAAGTGAGAGTTAAGGCAAAGAATAAACATGAATAGATCTTTAAGATCATAATGCTCCACCAGCAAACAAAAAACCCAACAGTGGCTCACGCCTGTAATTCCAGCACTTTGGGAGGCCGAAGCAGGTGGATCACCTGAGGTCAAGACTTTGAGAACAGCCTGGCAAACATGGTGAAACCCCATCTCTACAAAAACTACAAAAATTAGCCAGGTGTGGTGGTGCACACCTGTAGTTCCAGCAACTGAGGAGGGCAAGACAGGAGAATTGCTCGAACTCCCAGAGGCAGAGGTTGCAGTGAGCTGACATTGTGCCACTGCTCCAGCCTGGGTAACAGAGTGAGACTGGGTCTCAAAAAAAAAAAAAAAACCCTAACATTATAAAACCATTTGAAAAATAAAATTAGGATGAAAATGATCTTTCCAACAAAGCATGAAAACAAGTAACTTCGAAATTAGACTATCAGTTAGAAACCTTAAATGTGATAACCTATATTATATAATGATATCAAGATGACAAAATTAATGAGAAATGAATTTAGAATCAATTATTTGAAACTGTGTTAACAGATTCCAAATGGTTATATCAGCACTTCAGAAAGACAAAAACTAGTGAAAAAGGAAACAAGACTCCAGCTCCTCTTGTTGCTATACACACAAAATATTAATAGCTGTTTGATCCTCAGGCCCACCAAAATAAGTAGCAATTGTGAAATCTGAATTCCCAGTTGAAGATGGCAAATTGAACAAATTTTCTGAGCTAGTCTCCCTACTGAAACCCTATTAACATGGTAGTCAAAAAATTTCTTTAAGACAAAAATCCCACAAGGACAAAGAAACTGAGAAGATAACAGCAACAAAATTTTAGAAGATAAAAAGATATAAAACGTAAACTGCCATGGGAATATAATTAAAAAAAAAAAAGAAAGGTAGATGGATGAGAGGTTACTAAAAGGAAACTCAGGAAAGTTGCCAAATTTACGGTAAAACTCTCCAAAAATTCAAGAATTTGGTGGGATTAGGAAGCGGGAGTGAAAGCTAAAAACAAGAAAAATGGTCAAAATCCTGGTTAAGAAGCAGTTAGGATCCTCCATATACAGGCAGGTACACCGTATTAAAAACTGAAAGTTTATACTATTTCTGGAGCCTAACAAAAGGCTTCTGGACAGCAGGATACTAGGCACAGTGAGAAGTACTGTAGTAAAAAGTGTTAGTAATACAGGCGACCGGTAATCTGAATGCTACTGACAAACCCAAGACCACAGAACAATGAAAATGGTAACCTTTTGTAAATAAAACCACTGGAAGAACGCCAATATCAATCTTTGATTACTGTATCCAAAGTCATGTAACTAAATGCAGGATGCTTCATTCTACTTCTATATAGAAAAATTAAAGGGCTAAAATGAGAGCTAATACTTCAGAAGAGTAAGCTCTACATATAGACATTCAATTACATTCAGCTCTACACGTCCCACATCACGTCCACTAATTAAATGAGAATTTACAACAGCTACAAAGAACAAAATAGTAGGCAAACCCAAGAACCTTTTATGCTCTTAGTTTAAAATCCATTTTATTTTGTCTTTCAGGTCATCGAGAATCTCTGTGAATTACTCCTGAGAGAGATGAAGGCGAGTAAAACACGGCCTTTTCAAGTCAGAAATGAAAGACTATTATTCATACAAGAGACTTGAAGATGTGCTGACTTTTTTTTAATCCTGTTTTTGTGGATTAATTGATGAAAAGCAGAGGGTTAAGTACCTCCAATAATGTCTAATATCCAATATATATCCATATATAGGTCTTTAAAGCTTCAGTAATTTATCATTTTCAGTATTATCTCCATAAGACTATACAGAAGATATATGTATGTACTTTTCCCATATACCAACAAAAGACCATGCCAAAACATATCAATATATATAAAACCATACCTTGAACACCTTCTAGGAGTAAATCAACTCCCTTCCTATAAAAATCAGAAGCAGCTTCATAGTCGTCTTCTTCTTCCTTTTTTAAAGCCAGCTTTATTAATTCTCCTGCTTTCTCCAAATAATCTCTCTTGCCAAGCTTGGGTTTTAAACTGCCAGGAAAGAGGCTACGACTTTCCCGTTCTTCTGTTTTGTTCTGTTCACTCTCAGAAGCAACAGCTCCTAGTGCTGAAGAATCCAAAGAAAGACTGAGACCAAAAGTTCTAATGGGAGAATCTTGATTGGAAGCCATTCCATCATCTAACTCAGCAAGAGAATCCACATCAACAGTAAGAGATATCAGATCACTGTCACTGGAGAAGCCTAGAAATATGATCACAATAGTAAACAGATATTAAATTGAGAATCAGCCAAATGAATACAAATCATGCTAATTATTCATTTTTCATATTATCCAAGTCAATTTGGAAGGCTGTAATTTACTGATGGAAGTCAGTGTCTAGCAATTTGTTTCGGCTTAGTCCATTCATTTTATTCTCTCTATAGAACTCTGCAAGACAGCTTCCTTGACTTAAGCATCGAACTAAAATTGAAAACACATTTTCATCTAGTTTGGATGTCAAAAAGAGCCTTTACCACAAGATCCTGTAAGCAATTTACAGAAAACTGTTGCCTGTACAGAGAGTTGCTACAAACAACAGCATTTTGATAAAGGAAAAAGTACTTGAATCTTAGCTCTTTTTTTCTTTTTAAGACATCATCTTGCTATGTTGCCCAGCTGCACTCCAACTCCTGGGCTCAAGCAATCCTCTCACTTCAGCCTCCTGAGTAGCTCAGATTACAAGCATGGGCCACCATACCCAGCTGCACTCCAACTCCTGGGCTCAAGCAATCCTCTCACTTCAGCCTCCTGAGTAGCTCAGATTACAAGCATGGGCCACCATACCCAGCTGCACTCCAACTCCGGGGCTCAAGCAATCCTCTCACTTCAGCCTCCTGAGTAGCTCAGATTACAAGCATGGGCCACCATACCCAGCTGCACTCCAACTCCTGGGCTCAAGCAATCCTCTCACTTCAGCCTCCTGAGTAGCTCAGATTACAAGCATGGGCCACCATACCCAGCTGCACTCCAACTCCTGGGCTCAAGCAATCCTCTCACTTCAGCCTCCTGAGTAGCTTAGATTACAAGCATGGGCCACCATACCCAGCTTCAGCTCTTAAAACTTACTGCGTGACCAACAGCAGGTTACTTCATAGTATTACTTACTATGTAAGACTTTAAATGAGGAATAGACTTAATGCATATAAAGCAAAAGAGACTACCATTATTTTATAACTTTTATAACAATTATATAATACAAGTTGAATATCCCTCATCTGAAATGAGGGACCAGAAGTGTTTCAGATTTCAGATTTTAGGTTAGGGATACTCAACCTGTAACTATATAACAATTATCCAATGTGTCCTCAGAAGTGTGCTTTTTGGTAACTATCCATATCTGGAAAATGTATGCTATTTAGCATTTGTTAAAGTCAGAATTATTAGACATTTTTGTCTCAGCCTCTTCCACAAGCTTTTGGAAAGGTATATTTGCACTTATGTTTTCAGACAAAAAACAAAGTAATAGGTGCTACTGACTTATTTAGCAGTGAAAATTCCTTCTCATAGTTCATGTAACTGACATCTGGTAAATGAGCATAATCCACAATACATACCAAATTTTCTGCTCTCAGGACTGCCTTTCAAAATGATTGTGGATTCTAAAAAGCTTTTGTTCATGTGAATTGAATCTGTGAATATTTATTAAATACCAATACTGACATTTAGAAAATACGTCTAGAATTGCATAAAATAAAGCATTAAGCCCCATTATATAGTAACATAATTTTTATGAAAATAACTATATTTTTCAAAACAAAAAAAGTGGCATTGTTTTACATTTTTGCAAATCTTGTTAATGTCTGGCTTAACAGAAGATGCTAGACAATCATATCTGATTCTGCTCACAATCTGTTGTCATATGTTGTTTTGGATGAAAGATACGAAGGAAATGTCACACAGATAATGTAATTCAAAGAAAAACAAGTATTAGCCTTTTCAGATAATTATGAATATGGTTCTTTGATACTACACCAAAACTCTACAATTGATAGTTTTTTAAAGCTCAGTTGTACTGTGGAATATAAAATCCTATGAATGAAATTTCTGTTTCTGTTACATTCGAAGCCATTGGTCTCTCTTGCACACTGAATAAATCTTTTACCTGTGCATGAATTTATAACATCATACATTGGTCGTCCTGAAAGTAGTGGTTCCCTTAGTTACAAAGATCTTTCAAATGTTGACAGTACATTTCATTATCCCAAAAAAATCGTATGTCAACATTTCATTATCCACCAGTCTCATCAGAAACTTTTTAAGTATTGGGAAACTGCCAAACCCAAAGTGGCAGACAGATGTGATCTAAAAATCCTGATTTTGAATTGAAAACTCCAATTTTGTTATTGGCAACAAGTAATATCAGTTGTTTTCCTTGAAGTGTCAGCTTACTTCACTCCATTTCAAAGAAAAATGTGTCAAACACAAATGTGTGAATAATGACAGTTTGGCAATTGTTCTTTTTTTTTTTTGAGACAGAGTTTCGCTCTTGTTACCCAGGCTGGAGTGCAATGGCGCAATCTCGGCTCACCGCAACCTCCGTCCCCTGGATTCAGGCAATTCTCCTGCCCCAGCCTCCTGAGTAGCTGGGATTACAGGCACGCGCCACCGTGCCCAGCTAATTTTTTGTATTTTTAGTAGAGACGGGGTTTCACCATGTTGACCAGGATGGTCTCGATCCCTTGACCTCGTGATCCACCCGCCTCGGCCTCCCAAAGTGCTGGGATTACAGGCTTGAGCCACCGCGCCCGGCCCGGCAATTGTTCTTTCAAGCAAAATGGTGTCCCATGAAAAAAGCAGCTAGTTCAACTAATGGCTCAAACAACTGAACAAGTGCTTTTCCTCAAGACAACCATGGTAGTTCAGTATGCAGAGTGCTTTACACGTAAATCTCATCTCTTCACGCAGCATATTAAAAAGACAAGTAACAAGGGTTAAGATTTAACAAAATTAACAGTGTCTACTACTTAGGAAAAATTAGCATTGGCTTTATAAGTATATGCAATGAGTTCTGTTACAGTTTGGTGTCATTGTCTTGATTCCTGCCCAACACAGCAGTTTCACCTACCATCGCTTTTGTATCATCAGGGCAAATGTCAACATGGTGAAAAGGCAAAGAATGTCCTGGTATTATTATCAAAATAGTTTTGTTTTATGGACCTCCTGAAAACATCTCAGCAACACCCAGAGATTTGAAAGCCACTGATCTAGATCATTAAATAAGACTGACAACAGGGTTATCTAAAAACTAGTTTGGAAATAACTATGAGATCTGCATCACCACTGAACATTAACTACCAAGTTTCTCAGAAAAAATTGAAAAGAAAATTATTTCCTCAACATTATATACTAAATAAAAATGAAAAATGGATTAGACTATACAATTCTAGATCAGGGATCAGTACGATCTTTCTATAAAGGGCCAAAAAGTAAATATTCTAGGCTTTGCAGGCCATATGTGGTCTCTGCCACGACTACTCAACACTGCTGCTCTAGCGCAAAAGCAGCCGCAGACAATGTATAAATGAATGAGCATGGCTATATTCCAGTAAAACTTTACGAACGTTCAAGTGTGGATTCCTTATAATTTTCCCATCACAAAAATCACAAAATCATATCCTTTTAATTTTTTAACCATTTAAAAATGTAGAAACCATTCTTAGTCTGCAGGCCATAAAAAACAGGTGGCAGGCCAGACTCAGTCCATGGACCATAGTTTTGCCAACCCCTATTTTAAATTCAAATTGCTTACTTCATATCAAATAAAGTAAGTTAGGGTAAAAACATGTTACTGGCCACTAAGCTCAAATTTCTAATCAGCTTTAGATGCTGCCTTGGCACCCTGTCAATACATATCGTCATTTTCAACCTTTTTTCAAGCCCTTAGAACGTCCAAAAAGAAGAAATTCTATTCCCAAAAAGCAAAAGATTTCATTAAACTGACAATCTCAAATGAGATTCATAGAACCTAGAGAAAATCTTTTCAATTCTCTGACATATGAGTCATACAGACAGTACGTCATAATAAGAATCTTTCATAGCAATCTACAAAGGTATTTACTATCCTATGAAATATATATAAATTTTGGGAGGTTTTTCTTAAAAATTTATGAGATTTTTCTTAATTTTAGTATATGTGCTGCAGAGGTGAGCACGATTTTTCTTAATTTTAAAATATTTTATGTATTTCAATGCAAACTTATTTCCTTAAATGATGCCAGTATATAACCTAGCCCATTGAAACTGATAAACAAATAGATAAGGTTGAAAAAAGTTCTAGTTTATACAGCTAATCACAAAAGAAAGGAAATGCTGTATTAGAGATCTCTTTTGTCTGTTCTCTGGTGTCCTGTCACTATAACCTTCACATCATCTATCACATTGTTCTGTTTCATCTTTTGCCCCATTTTCCTTTTTAACAATAACAATAACACCGAAGAGCAAGAGGGCAACGTTATATATACTCTGTTTCTTGGCTTTTGACTACAACAAACCAGTACCACAGTCATATTTCCTCTTACCTTTCAAATCACATTTTTTTTTTTTTTTTTTTTTTTTGAGACAGAGTTTCACTCTTGTGACCCAGGCTGGAGTGCAATGGCGCGACCTCAGCTCACCACAATCTCCGCCTCCTGGGTTCAGGCAATTCTCCTGCCTCAGCCTCCCGAGTAGCTGGGATTACAGGCACGCGCCACCATACCCAGCTAATTTTTTGTATCTTTAGTAGAGACGGGGTCTCACCATGTTGACCAGGATGGTCTCGATCTCTTGACCTCATGATCCACCCGCCTCGGCCTCCCAAAGTGCTGGGATTACAGGCGTGAGCCACCGCGCCCGGCCTTCAAATCACATTTTATTAGCAATGAGAATCATAAATAAATGATATTAGATCAAAAAAGTAAGACCATTTAAAATACCTAGAGACAAAGATAATAAAATTAAATAAATAAACATTCTGTAGAAAATGTTTCCTTTTCAAATTCTAATTTCTTAATTAAGCATCTTTAAAAGCAAGCAAACATACCCACATACACATACACATACACCCCAGCAGGTAAAAAAGAGAAATTTATTTAGCCAAACCGGAAGAAGAAAAGAGAAATAAAAAGATTTCCAGTTAAGCCTTTTAGAAGACAATTTGGCAATGCATATCAAAAGCACAAAACTGCTTCTTTCTCCCAGAAATTTAGCAATTTATACCAAA